CCCCAAAACCCCAAAACCCCAAAACCCCAAATTAGTCTTTAAAGATTGAAATATAACATTTTAATTTATAAAAATTTAGCCTCTTTCACATTGCTAAGTCAAGTAAAATGTTTCATATGATGTAAGGAGAGAAGGAATCATAATTTTTATTTAGAAAATAGATGCTTCTTCACGTTGCGAAGTCTGAGGTGACTATAAGTTATCCTCACAGGCTATGTTACAAACATTCAGAGGACTACAAGGAGCCAAAGGGCAAGATTACAATAATCGAACGTCCGAGACACTGATGGGAAGTGCTGACTGGCACAGGGGCTGATAAGCGTTACATTGCAATCGGAGCTTTGGAATGGCTTAGTATGAATTCGAGGTTTGATAAAATAAAATTTTATATAAAGTAAAGAAGAATATCTTTGAAAATGAACAGGACTTAGACGATATTACATTCATGAGTGGGTGCATGCAGAAAGACTTGGACTCTTCTTACTGGACAAGAGAAGTGTTACGTCTTGATATAATCTAACCAGGATGTGGACAAGAAATCATATCTGAAGAAGTTCGGCTCTCAGAGATTCCCAAAGTTCATAAAGTTGTCTGTTACCAAAGATGATCAGAAAGATAGGATGACTTATGAAAAGTATTTTTCTCCTCTCAACCACGACACCGAGTCTCTGGTTGTCTCAGCAGATCAAGAGAGAGATAAAGTAAGGTGGTTACTCCCATTGATTTGAAGAATACCAACAAGCTGAAACATCTGTTTTTTTAGATATTTTTCAGTCTAGATGGAGGAACTCAAGAGAATCTTCGGTACTTCAGACTCTGTCAAATACTTGTGCTTTCATTAATGTAATTTTTGGATGCCACAGCTTGGAATTTATTGTTCCTCCTTCTGGATGGGGCAAAAGAAGAAAAGCCACACAAGATATTCAGGTCACTAGATGTACTTTCTCAGGTAAGGCTTTAATGCCAATAATTAACTATCATGTATACATCATGTGCTATATAGTGTTTTCATGACAAGTTGATATAATTCTTATCATAGCCACCCCTGAGAATTCAGACAAATAGTCTTAAAGTGTTGTCCGAAAGCAATGATCCGAGTTCTCATATAATTTGCCTCCTCAGATTGTATAAAGAATTGTATGAATAGAGCTTCAATTTATCACAAACAACCCGGGGTTTTGGGGTTTTGGGGTTTTGGGG